GTGAGCGTGGGTGAGCACGGATGCGATTTTGGGAAAACAGTCATCTGCAGGCATCATGACTTTTCTGGAAATCCCACAGTACACACGTCGCCAGCCTTGACGGACCCTCTAGTGAGCGTTAGATTGTGGCTTGGCTCTTCGGAGTGGTGTTGCTAAGAGGGGCACTTGACCTTGCTCACCATGATCGACTGATGTAATGAATGCCTTGATATACCGAGTACAAGTCATGCAGCTGAGCTGGACAATGAAAGGGTGTATGTACATAGCCATGCGGGCAGAGGAGCGAACTCTGTCCCAGTCTCATGAGCCCTTCCAACACGGCCACCCGAGACAGGACCAAGTTGGCAAACATAACAGATATAGTCAAAAGGAGGGTGGTCCCCGTCTTGCTCCCTCGTCCCATGCCGCCTTGTCGCCCTTGAGGGAGTCCGCACAGCCAGTAGACCGGAGGGGTTCACACCCTTTCGGGGTCCACCCGTGTTGCTCATCCCGCTCATATCAGACCAGGGTCCAAGCCCTGGGGTATGTATTTCGATTGGTCTTCCGGTTGTATCCGGCACCCTGCACGCCGCCTCATGTGGCTGCGCATGGGTTAAAAGGAGGAAAACTGGTGGAGTGCATACGCAACGGGAGTGGCAGCTGGAGGGTGCAATGGGCAGGCTGTACCGGGTACTGGTTGTCGACGAGCCAGCCTTGCATGCACATATAAAGAGATCGACTGATCCAGGTTGGACGTAGCGAGAATTTATTGTCCGTCTTCGATTTTCCCGGTAGTATCTAGAGCAAATCGGCTCATTTCGTTCGAGCGCAGGTGCGGGTTATCCGCTGCTTGTTATCCCCTTCCACCTCCATCGACCCGCCCCTCTCCAAGGGATCGTCCAGACCAGCTCTCTCCTGAATACTCATCAGCTCCTATAAAAAACTGCAAGAAGGTCGTACCGAAGTGCCCATCAACCCGTCGACCTATCAAGTGTCAACCTTAACAAGTCGCACAGTCCAATTGAATCGTGCTTGTGGCATGAGAGGCGGCAGCTTGACTCACATACTCGACTTGTGCCGCCGCCCAATCCAGCCCCGCCCTGCGCCAAGGTCGAGCTTCGAGTCCAGATCGACTCGGAATTCCATTGGTAGAGCCGAATCGCGGTGACGAACCCGGACGACTCTGGGCAGCCACTCACCAGCTGTCCAACCCCCCAGTGCCCCCCCAGCGCCGCCACTGTTGCCCTTCGACTTCTCCGTCGCCCTTCTCCCTGGCCTCTCCCACTCACTCGGTCACGGCATCTCGGCCGCACTCAAAATTCACTTCCCCAAGGTGGCCTTCTCGCACTGCCACTGCCACAAACAACCCTTACCCTGACGGTACCCTCCCTGTCTCTCCGTACAACAACCACACCGCATCCCACCTTCAACCACAACCACGACAACCCCCCTCGGAGCCTTGCCATCCCAGACACTCTGTCCTGATCTATTTCACCTTATCCCGAACAACCGCGATTACGACAACTTCTGACGTTGACGACATCGACTCTGTGCCACTTGTACACCTGGCCGCCACGAAACCTCGATTGAGCGCAGCTCCCACCTTCAGGTCTTCTGTCCCACGGCTTTCCTCTGGTAGCCCCTCGCATTCAATCCGCACCCGCTATCTCGTCCACATTTCAGTACAGCTCAATAGTTTGCGCTCTTGCTTCGCTTTGCGCCCGTCCAATCTTCCCTCTGACCACCTCAGTCGCCGTTCACCACATCAATCATTCAAGGCAACCCAGAAAGAGGTGGTATCGGCGATTTGGGTCAGCCTTTAGAGCCAAAAAGACTCACGCCGTCGGAGAACACCCCTTGATCTGTCTGCTGCTGTTCGAATTGGGACGGTCTTTTTCTCGCTTCAGACGCACGCTACACAGAATAGCGAATATCACCTACGAACACACAACGGAATAAGGCCGGACGGTGTGATTCATTGCTGACAGCGCATACTGCCGTCAGCCTCGTCCACGTTGCGACAGGGAAGTTTTCGGCACGGATGGTCACTGCTTGACGGTGACAACCCAAGTCCATTCACTCTCGGTATCACTAGGACGGAGTTACCCTCGATAGCCGTGCTTCACCTTTTCTCATTCACCTGGTCAGCAAACCCCATGGCTATATCCGCTTGATAGCCACCTGGTTTCTTTTGTTCGCTGCTGAGTGACATCTGGGTCAAAGCACGCGAGCTGAACTTCTTCTATTCTTATTGCCACCTTATTCCGACCACCTACTTCTCACTCTTTCCTTTGTTTTGGATCATGACACATTCTTCAGCCGGTATGCCCTATATCAAGAGCGAACCCGATGACTTCGGTAATAACCCTAACCGATTCATGTCGTCGGCGAACTATGGCAACTCTCAGGGTTATGGCAACCAGTTCAACAACCAACAGGATGGCGGGAGCATTGACCCCTCCGAGCTCTCCATGCCCACCACCAACTATGGTAGCATGCCATACAACTATGGTGGAAATCCCATCTCGTCCAGTTACGGCGTCGGGGTGGGACCCGCTTACACTGACAACGAGTTATTAGAGTCCCTCGACTTCGGAAACAACAATGGTCAAGGCATGTTTGATGATTTCACCATGGCAAATCCTACCAACAGCAATAACAGAAATTCAGGTGCAGTCCAAATGGACCAGCAGAACCAAATACCCAATGTCTATTCTAGTACTCCGGACGGGCCTCCCATTCAGAGCCCATTCCTTGGAAACTTTGACTATAACCAATTCAGGCCCATGGGTTCCCTCCCGACTCATATGTCGCCTCATCAAGGTTCCCAGTTTGGAAAGCGTCCCAGTATGCAGGCGGCAAATCGGAAATCGTCCGATCAGCGAACCCCGTTGACTCCACGTACGGCAGGGATGGCAGGACTACAGATCGGAACTCCAGAATCGGGAAATCTTGCCAATGGTCGTCCCATCCGCGCCCCGAACGTCCAAAATCGACACTCCAAGACCTTGTCGGGACAATACGACAGCACGCCTGGGAGCTTCCATTCATACCTAGATTCGCCGTTGTCATCTCCAGGCAATGGCATTCATCATGCTGGCATTTCTGAGACTCTTGGGACTGGTCATCATGCCTCACTACCGGCAAAGGTCGATGGCGGTCTTAGTACCAGCAATACAGAGACTGCAGAGGCTAAGAAGCGAAGGAGGCGTGCGTCGCACAATGCTGTTGAACGGCGGCGGCGAGACAACATCAATGAACGCATCCACGACTTGTCCCACTTGGTGCCACAACACCGCCTGGAGGATGACAAGGTCAAGAAGCAGTTACAGAGTACTGGACCACTCTCGCCAACTACCGGCGCTGCGAGCATGAGTCCGCCAAATGCTAACAATGCCGCCACATCATTACTTGCAGGTGCTGCCGGTCGTCGCGCTGCCAGCACTGCAGGGAACATCACGATTGGACTACCGATTGAGGAGAAGGAAAAAGGCCCTAACAAGGGTGACATCCTCAATGGAGCGGTTGCGTGGACTCGTGACCTCATGTGGGCGCTGCATCAAAAATACCAGCAGGAAGACGAACTACTCCAATACATCCAGTCAATAGGCGGCCAATGGCCTTTCCAAGTCACAGAAGATGACAAACGCATGCGCTCTGAAGTCATGGATGCCATGGAGAAAAATGATTCCAGCACATTTTCTTACTCCAGGACAGATGGCACTGGGCTACGGGTCCCACGACACACGAATGTCGCGGGCGAGCGGGTCCTGAATAACCCCAGTCTCAGTCCTCAAAGCAATTTCGAACTCAGCCCGGGCTTTCATAGTGGCGGCAGTGGCACAAATAGTGGCAGTAACGGAGCCGGCCAAACACAATACTGGCACAGCGCCGGACATACAGGCATCAGCTTCAAAGAAGAAGATGAGTTCATGGACATGAATTGATGAAAGTGTCGCGTGATGATGCCTAAAGTCGGATGCCACCTCAGCAAGAGTGTGCGCGACAAACACGACGCCGGCAGTGATGACCTTCAGCGCAGGCGTCAGAGGTTGAACATACCAGCCAGCATTGGTACCGGAGAAACATATGAGGGCGGAGACATTCTGCGAGCTGATGGATTTGAGCCTGAGGCTCTTGTTATCTCTTGTTTTTTTCTCCCATCAAGTACATTCGCCAATCCTTGGGATGCGATCTTTCATGTACTTGCCGGATGGGATTTATGGTTGGGTCCATTCGAGCTGATTTTTGTCTTTTGTTTGCCTGGATACCCCCTCGTTCTGACATTTCATCTTTTCATTTGTCACTCGGCGCACATTTGAGGCATTTGGTTCCAAGTCAAGGGCAGCAGGCAGAGCCAGGCCTGGAACGGGATATGTATTGTAGGTAGACACAGAACATGCACGCCGTGATCTGATAGCATGGATCATGACTTGGTGGGTAGGGAGGGAATGCATGATACTAGTAATACTCTTGAATCAAAGGGGTTGTGTCCGTCACGCCCTGGTTACTTTGATCATTCATGGTTCAGTGCACGAGCTGTGTCCTCGGTCTGCCATTCAGATCGCAGAGGTTAACGATCCGCATCGTGACCGATTGCTTATCCGAGACCCGGCATGCTCTAGCGAGAAGGGGCCGTTGTCGGGGGCTATTCACGAACCTCTTCCCCTGATTCTCCCGCTTCTCCAACTGGCCGGAGCAGACGACCAACCACTCTTCCTTGGCCAAAAGTCTCCAAAGTCGGAGTTGACCCTCCCCTGCGCCCAAAAACATTTCCTCACGATTTAACCTAGAGTACTTGGTGCTCTTTATGCTCTTTGAAATCCTCTTCAAGAGCAGACATCTGTTCATCACGGTGCTACTTTAGCCCAACCTCTGTCTCCGTGCTGTCGCGTACTCTTCACTCCTCGCCTTTGGGTCGTTGTGTCTCTCTACTCCGCTTGCGCCAACCTCCACTCACGCCCTTTGACCGCACCCATCTCGAAGACCGGATATCGCACACACCGTAACTTATAAGCAAAATGACGGAAAAGCCTTTGGGCTTCGGCTACCAGATCGGTGCCGGAGCCATCGCCGGTGTCTCAGAGGTGAGTTCAGAACCAAAGAGACCACAATAATTGAGGCATGCATCTTTCCTAGAGCTCCCACTAATCAAAGCGTTCTAGATCCTCATAATGTGAGTTTTGGTCTCGCATACTGTACACGCACGCCGAAGCTGTGGCGAGACAAGGCAGTCCCGACCTTTTGCTGACTGCCTTCATCCAGGTACCCGTTGGATGTGGTCAAGACAAGAGTGTACGTACATATCACCAGATGGCGCAAAGCAACACCCAGCTAACCACTTCCCGCTGAGCCTACAGACAACTTCAGGGCAGAACGCCCGTCCCCGGCCAAGACTACTACACCGGCATGTTCGACTGCCTGCGTAAGATTGTCAAGAACGAAGGTCCCTCTCGGCTATATCGTGGCATTGGCGCGCCCATCATGATGGAGGCTCCCAAGCGAGCAACGAAGTTCGCCGCGAACGACTCCTGGGGTATTTTCTACCGCAACCTCTTCGGTGTTGAAAAGGCCACCCAGCCGCTCGCTATCCTGACCGGCGCAACCGCTGGCGCTACGGAGGCATTTGTCGTGGTCCCTTTCGAACTGGTCAAGATCAGATTACAAGATCGTGCATCTGCTGGGAAGTATAACGGAATAGTGGACTGCGTTGTCAAGACCGTGAAAGCTGAGGGACCCTTGGCCCTCTACAACGGATTGGAATCAACTCTTTGGCGACACATCCTCTGGAACGCCGGGTATTTCGGCTGCATCTTCCAAGTCAAATCGCTCATGCCCAAAGTCGACAAGGCCGAACGCGGAAAGGCGATGCTGAATGACTTCATTTCTGGCACGATCGGTGGCACTGTCGGTACGATCCTTAACACTCCCATGGACGTGGTCAAGTCGCGTATCCAGAACTCGCCCAAGGTCCACGGACAGGTGCCCAAGTATAACTGGGCCTGGCCTGGTCTGGGAACGATCATGAAGGAGGAAGGTGGTGCGGCGCTTTACAAGGGTTTCTTGCCCAAGGTTCTGAGACTGGGACCTGGTGGCGGAGTCTTGCTTGTTGTGTACACCGGTGTGATGGACTGGTTCCGAAAGATGGGCGCTTAAATCCATCGGCTGAGTGAGTGGTGAGAGAGGGAGGAGAGAGAAGGAGATTGACGGTGTTGTGTGTGTGCGTGAGCGTTGGTGAAGAAGAGAAGAATACCGACTCGGTTCTCCTTCATCTGAGGCGCCGGAGTTGAGTCTGGAGACGTTGATGAGGGTCTTGGATTCCAGAACCGGACAGACAACATGAAAGGGAAAAGAACTCGCCACATAGAACGCAGGGAGGGAGGAATGGCTTTTTTGAAGACTATTTTCCTGGCCACTTGATCCAAGAAAACATTGCGATGTCTCGGTTTTGCGGCCCATCAACTTCCACTAAAAATCCAGTATACGACGGCTGTGGTTTTTGTTTCCTCCTTTCTTGGAAAATATTTTGGGATACTGGGAAGGAAAGAAAGACTTGCGAGACTTGCCTGGCTTGTATTGCTTTGTGTGGAAGTATTCAAATTAAGTATTGAAAGATAGAGCGTTAGAGGGATGATAAAGGGAGAGGAGAGGGACAATTGAGTGCGATTACATCAATGGTAGCCTGTCCTGCCTGGTCCTGCCTGGTCTTGTCTCTTCCTGTCCTATTGTATGTTATTTCTCTCTCTCTCTCTCTCTCTCTGCTTGGATCTCCGTTAGAATGTACAAGTCAAGTTCGTCACGCACCGAATGTTCTCGTCGATTTGCTCTGCCGTGCCGGGTTGCGGTCCTAGGCGAAATGCACGGCGAATGCGAGAGAATATGGACATAGGATTCGATGGGGCAACAAGGCTCTGTACTTTCTCAATAGAGAATTTATGTATGTGTGTATTCAGCCAGGACCAAGTTTTCTTTCGCAAATCCTTGAGTCAAAGCCGTAGAGACTATGGAAAAACAAACTTGATAACTGGGAGGTGCACGACTCGATGCTTCGTCCACGCTCGCACACACGATGTTCCAACGCCAAATGCCAAAGCCCATTCCCATGTCCATGCCATTGTCCAAGTCCATGCTTATGCTCATAACTCCATATGATGTCCAAGACACGCGCAGCGACGCTTCTTAAGGTCGGGTTTGTTCCGGCCAGCCAGAAAACCCGCTCCCAAATTCACTTGGCGCGTCTGATATACCATCTCGACCTGGTACCTTCTTCGAGCTCGACAATGACTTTTGAAGGTGAATGAGGTTGTATTTTCTTTTCAGGTTCCAGGTTGTGGTCTTGCGCAGTAGCATTGCTGCATCTCGGTTTGCGCTTGTCTGCGTCGACTCCGACGTCGACATTACCGTTGCCGGTACCATTGCCATTTCCCTTAGGTAGTTGTCTCTGTTTGTGCTCCACATCAGTCTCTGCAGACGGGGCCATCTCCTGGTCATTGACTTTGATAACAATGTTCCTGGCGGACGTAGTCGTGGGGCCGGCTGTTTCGTTTGTTTTTGGCCGTATTTGAAGGGATCCTTCTTTTTTCACCGGTGATGGATTGCCGTTTCTGGGTTCATGTTTAGCTTGCGATTTGTTGGAATTGAGTTTCTTCGTAGACTGATCCTTTGCGTTCAAGGACTTTTCTCTAGACCATAGTCTCTCGTTCAACGCATCTTCCCATCCTGCTCGGCGAGCAATTTCTTCTAAGACCAAGTCACACTCGCCCAAAAGTTCAATATCAACTTTGACCCCTTCACGCTGGCACCTGTCTTTACTTATCCAGATCTGTGGCACCGTTGGAGGAATATTGAGGAGCATTTCATTCACAGGCTCGACTTTCAGAGACGTGCCGACAATAACGAGCAAGTCTACCTTGCTTTTGTCAATGTTCAGTCGAGGAGCATAAGAATCTGCGATGTCCTCGCCAAAGAAGGTCATGTCTGGTTTGAGAAGGCCTTTCGGAAAATCTCTTTTCGCCGCCGAGTCTTCCGAGTCTGTGTCTTCGAATTCGTCCCGCTTGCGTTTCTTTTTGCCGCTGCGTCCTCGGCCCTTGCTGCTAGTTCTCGGTTTGGGACCTCCATCGACCAGGGTGCATTTACAATAGGGTACTCCTCCTGCCCGCACAACAGGCATGTATTTCCTGGCGGTTGTTCGTTTTCCACAGCTCATGCAGGTGGCGGTTGCTAGGGTGCCATGACACTGGATCAGTTTCGAGGGAGATACACCTGCGGCAACCTCTAGACCATCGATGTTTTGAGTGTAATTTGTCAGAAGCTTCCCCTTCGACTGTAACATAGAGATAAAGGCGTGGGTTAAACTGTATTTTGGAATCAGAGGGATCGAAGTATCGTGGCTTGACTTGCTTGAACCGACACCGCCTTCAGCGGGCACGAGACCTTGCATCTTCGGAAACACTTTTGCAGCCTGTCTGAAAAACTCTTCCGGGTCAGCCTTGAAATTGTCGATGTGGAACAATTCCTGTGGATCGTCATAGACCGAATCAACGAGTAGGTTGTAAACACCATTAGCAGAACGAAAATCCGGCACTCCCAGGGAAGTGGAAATACCAGCGCCCGTCAAGATGATGATATTCTTGGACGATTTGAAGAGTGAGACGGCGTGATCCAGCGTGAAATACTGATTCAAGCGGGGCCGAATTTGTGGAACTCTCTTCGCGGGTGAAGAAAGTCGTCGTGGCGGGAGGGATGATGCTCTGTCCATATTTAACTGATGAATACGGAGTAGTTTGGAAGGCGATGGTCGATCGGGTGAGATATCGAAGTAAGAATTGCCATCCCGATGGGCAGGGGAATGGGGTGCTGAAGTGGCCATCGTTGCACGATCAAACGGACTGGCACCCGAAGGAACCAAGTGATTGCAAGTTGGTCAGGGTCGATGTTGCAAGCTGTTTGTTTCAGGGTCTTTGATTGCAAAAACAAGAGATTCAGACGCACAGCATCCAGACTTCACATGGTGCTTGGTCATCTGGGTAAGGCTGTGGAATCCGTGCGCCCGGGTTGGTTTTGGAAGTTGCAGATCTCGAAGATTCGAACCAGGCACAATCGAGTCATGACTGCGGCCCTCTACACAGGCGTCCAAGGCGGAGAAAGGTCGGGGCACTTCTCTTCTGTGAGCGCATGCACAAGATATAAGACACAGAGAGGTGTTTTGAGGGTCTCGTCGCAGAGTTTGCCTGAGCTGACCAGGAGATATGGTGTAGGGGGCCGGGATGTGGTTTGAATATCCCCTGAGCCTTGAGGCTGTGCTTTTCTTAGTAGGTAGAGACTGCGATATGACATCATCGTACAGCTGATCACGTGCACACGCCTCTCGACTCTTTAGTCTCGACGCGCTTCCCACTTGAAGTTGGACGCGACTTTGGGCCGTTGTGTGGGTTGTGTCGACCCTCGACCATGCTCCACCACAACATTGACGAACTTCAATTCTTCCCTCCTTCCCTCATCGCAGTCCATGACTGACACGAAGACATCAGTTCGCCTAACATAATGCCCTCCGCCCTCTTGGGCGTCTCATCGCAATCTAGAAGAAAGCTCAAAGCTTTCGCGTTCGACGAAAGACTGCTGGCTGGAGACGAAGACAAGGAGAACCAACAGGATCAAAATGCTGTCACAAAACCCAGTTCGGACCACCGTGACTGTACACGCCAGGACCAGATGACTGAGCCTAGAGTTCCCTATACACCCGCAGTGCGCATCCCGATCGAAGACCTCATTGCAAATACCGAGGATGCATACAATTGCCCTCCGCCAGAAGGGACACCCAAAGATCACGTTCTCTGGCAGACACATCCGGATAGCTCAGACGCCTCAGCAGCAGCAGGTGCCACACAAAGGAGCAGGAAACGCGCTCATAGTTCGTCACCCGTCTCCTCGCAACAAGTCTCTGCGCACAGGGATGCCTTGAATCTTGACACCCTGAACAAGTCCCTCCGCACTCCCAACAATGATCCTACTCAGGATCTATGGAACAGATACACAACCGCCAACGGGTTGAAGAAAGATGGGAAAGAACCTAGCTTGCCGGCATACGGACATTTGCTTCCTTCGTCCCCTCAAACACCGAGCACCGCCAGTAAGGACAGCAGCTTGAGGCGAACACACAGCTGTGGGGTCGAATGGCCTACATCAAAATCGAAGCGCAGAAGGGTACAGACGACCCAGCACCATAGCCGCACCAAAGAACTATTTGCCGCTTCCCGCAAGGAGATTCTTCGCCGTGACCTTTCCAATAATACTCGAGTTGGCCTTCTGCTCGACAGAATCCAGGAAAGTTTGACAAGGAAGGTTGACGCAGCGGAAGACCCCTCAAGCTCCTCTCCACTGCCAGACAGGCGCTCGCAGGCATTTGTATCGCCAAGCAAACGGCCGAACGGTACCAGACCCAGGTCCAGTGGTCCAGACGCACCTCACGTCTCCCAAGTAGCTCAACCGAAGAAAACTATATCCCCGTCTGAAACATCGTCATCATTTGAATTCAGCGACGATGGTCTCGATGTTGAAGCTTTCGAGAGTGCTGAACGGGCCCTTGGACAAGCCGAGGCGAAGACCCAAATAAGTCACATTGAACCAGATCGCAATGGCAACGGGTCGAGTATGCGGTCTCGTTCTTATTGTCACGATGAAGGCAGAACCCTCCAACTGGATGGTTCTCGAGACCAAAATGAGAGGCAGCCTAACAGGAATCAGGAGCCATTGCATCCGGAGGCTGTGACTGCAGGATTTGATGAATTTAATGACGAGGATGACGACGACGAAGAATTAATGAATGAGATGCTTGATCTTGCTGCAAAGTATGATTCACAGTCACAAGCAGTGGTAGCCAATCCACCAGGCTTTCCGAAGCCGACGGCATCCAAACCACAAACCAGGCACCTTGAAACACTTGACGAATTCGAAGACGTATTTGATGACGATGATGAGCTTTGGGAGGACATTGCAAATGCGACTTATGAAAAAAGCAGGACACCAGTCACATCCAAGGATCATGTACGTTCTTGATAGACTTCAAGTTGATGACGCGCATGCTGATAGGATAAATAGATATCAATTGACAATCGAGCCATCAAACGTTACCTCGTTGTGGAAGTCCTTGAGAGTGA